GGATGCTGGTGGTTTTGTTTTTTTTAAGAGCACGTACAATGTGCCTTTTACTGATTGGGGTCATGCTTCAGATGAACCCCAAAGTTTCAGCTTTTATTTCCTGACAGCTCACTGCAATTTCAACATACAAACTAGTTATAGAAATGAGTTTGTTAGTTCCGGATGCTGGTAGTTTTGTTTTTTTAAAAGAGCATGTACAATGTGCCTTTTACTGATTGTCTAATGCTTTCTTCCTAACGTTTTGCCAGTCTCTGTGGCCGGCATCTTCAGAGGACAGCAAACTGTGCTTTTACTGATTGTCTGATGCCTGTTTTTGAAAGCCTGCTTGCAAATTTCACCAGGAAAAGGGACATGACTTTTCAAACTCTTTCTAATCTCCTGTATTACTCTGGGAGAGTATTAATGCTAATAAAAAATGGAGATGCTGAAGGAACTGTCAGAGCCAATCAGACCTCAGCCCCTCACTCCCAAGAGGCTCTTATCAAATCTCTGACTAGCTGGGGGGGGGTGGTTTGAAGGAAAGTCACCGAACAAAACCCATTAAAGCCACATTATTGAATGCCCACTTGCATAAATGCTAAAGATAGCCACTTTAGCCATTCCTCCCCTTTTCCCTTTCTTTGGATAATTATAATTTTCTGCTTCAGCTGAGAAAGTCATTTCTGATGCCGCTCAAGTGCGTAATCAGTTTTGCCCTTCTGGAGGGCAGGCAGAATGACGCAGCGCTTGGAGTGGGCTCGTCAAAAGCGTCCTGCTGGGACTGTCGTTTTGGGTACAAAATCGCCAATATCTGAAAAGCCCTGCTCCAGCAATAACCTCCACAGTTTAACTTTAAAAATAATACATGGTTACTTCGGCATCAGGATAAAAAAATAATAACAACCAGCGCCACACGGATGCTATCCTAAGAGATACCACTACAACAGATGTCTGCCTGTATCTTCAGTACAGGAAGTCCAGAAATTGGTTCCAACTCCCTAGAGGAATTGAAGGTTTCTTTCCCACATCTAAATGGGGTGAGATGCGCATGTGCCACAACTGAGAGAGGGAGACCCCTTGCTCTTACGAGGCCTCAGGAAAGCTCACCCACTAGACCTACGGTGGTGCAGAATATTTCCATGTCCCTTTCACTTTGCAAAGAGCTAAGGCAGCTGCACGTACGTATGTATTCGGGGGGCGGTTCAGCTGTGGTGGTTCAGAAATAATACCAACCCAAGGTTTGCTGGCAACAGAGCCAGCCCAAACCATTTTGCGGCCTGCGATGAATGATGGTGTCGTCTGTGCACAGAAGCTGGCCAAGAGAAAATGGTGGAGCGTTGTTCTTTTCAACTGGGGATGTTCTGCATGCCATCTCAGGACAGGAAGGGTAGCTTAATGGGTGCAAAGGAGTCTCTGGCAGTCCAGAAAGCATTTCTAGGGAAGGAGAAAGAAAAAGCATGCAACGGTATGAGATTTGCTCTGAAGAAAAAACATCCAGCAAGTTTTCCATCCTGGCACTCCTACCATTAAGGCGTGCGAGGTGTCAGTTTTTGCCATAGTTAATTAACGTCCTGCAGCTCTCTCAGAATCTGCCATTCAAAGGGGACATCTCGCACACCCAAACGGTAGGAGGGCTGGGAAGGAAATCTCATATTGTTTCTTTGCTCCTCCCTAGAAAGGCGTGGACTGCCAGAAAGAAAAAAGCAGTGGGTCCCAGATCAAATCAAGCCTGAGCTGTCTCTGGTGATAAAAACACTGAAACCGAGGCTGTCCTCATTTGGGCATAATCTGACAAGGCAGGATTCTCCGGAGAAGACAACAAGGTTGGGAAGGTGGAAGGCGGCAGGAGAAGAGGAGGACCAAATAGGAGACGGGCTGACTCCCTAAAGGAAGCCACTGGTTTGAGTTTGCAAGAGCTGAATCAGGTGGTTGAGGACAGAGCAGCAAGAAACAGGTGGTCCCACCTCACTCTCTCCCCTTCATATCCCCTGTTCAAATCCTACTCTTTTTTAGCGAGATCTTTGGTTTAATCATCGACTGCACCTGTAAGGTATAAATTCAAGTACCTGTAACTGCAGTTGCTCTCATGTAACCTTGATTCTCTCACACACACCCCCTCAGCGCTGTTCCCTTTCTTGAGAACGGATATCATTCTTAGAACGCCGTGGCAAAAGGACAGAGCTAGGAGTAAAGAAATCCTTTATGAAAGTACTTCCTCTTTGCTGCGCGCTAACCAGATGGCCTTCTATGTGACATTTTCTCTCTGTCTTAACTTCCGTCCATCATCGGCAATGCGAGAATAACAACAGGGACTGTGTTCCAGCGCTCCTGGAAGGATTAAAATGATGTACCGCAAAAAAGCAAAGTGTGCTGCTTATACACCACCCCACAGCCCCTAAAGCACTCTCTGGGCGGTTTACAAGTTAATTAGGCATTGCCCTCCCCCGCCACCACAGCGAACTGGGTCCTCATTTTACCAGCCTCAGAAGGATGGAAGCCTGAGTGAACCTTGAGCCGGCTACCTGGGATTGAACCTGAGCAGAGTTTTGGCTGCAGTACTGCAGTTTAACCACTGCCCCATGAGGCTCTTCTTACCCAGCCTGTTGCCCTCCAGATAAGACAGGATTGCTCACCATTGGCCGTGTTTGCTGGAACTGATGGAACTGTTATTTAATACACAGCTAAATAAAGCGTACAAACGCTTGGATATATAAAAAAACACGATGTACTGTAGGGCTACGTGCATTTATGATACTAAACGAACCACAGATTGAAGTGTGACGTTTTCCCAAAGAGATAGACAGGGGAAAAAATCTTAAGGGTCTTACCAACAATATACTCCAGTTATATTTTTCTACAGATGGGAAGGAAGTTACATTTCAAATCTTCTTACTCTTTTTCTGCCCTTACAGTAAAAAATAAAGAAGAAAAAAGAGGAGCAAAGAAGATAATTTCAGATTACATTCTAGCCATCACTCTGAGATTGTGGCTGCCGGCTCTATTGCAGGATGGCTAAATAATAGATGTGATTTAAAGGCTCCAGGGGTAGATTCTAAAAAGGCAGTGAACCTCCCAAATCCTGACAAAGTGCCATTTAGTCATCAAAAAATACCTCGGAGGTAGATTTAGAGCTATTTTGCAACTTTCTTTCCACTGAGAATGCTCTCCGGGCAATGTGCTTTTCTCTTCTTCCTATCAAATACATTTTCTCACACTTTGGCGCACAGCTACACCTTCTTTCTCCTCTGGCAGTGGATTAAATTAGACCTTTTAAACATTTATCTCCCTTAGGTGTATGACCACTTTCAGCATCTGACTCTGTAAGAAACAAAGAACAAAACAAGACCCATGTTTTGCAGGCGATGATGAGCCGGTGATTTTGATGCCACTCATTTGTCTGTTCAGGCTCGGGGTGAAAATCCAGCCGCAGAAAACCCCCAAACCACAAAGGGAGGGCGGGGAAATCCCAATTTGTATCAGAAATCACCAAATACATTATGAAAAGCAATGCAAAACAGAATACATTCATGTGTATCATTGATGTTTTCAAAGAAATAAGGCTTATATTCTTACTATGGAAGAACCTTACCAGTTTATTTTGTTCACTCGTACAAAACGTGGTAGAACACAATGTTCATTTTAAATCAAAAGGCTGCAACACCGGAATCTCAATGGCAGACAAATTGCTTTTCACATAAGATTTCTCAAGCATGCCCCTGTTTCTACAAATACCTACAAATGGAAAAGCATCAATCTGGCAACTCTTTAAAAAGATGTGCATAATTCTCTGCAATGACACGCATCACAAGCTGCTCCAGCTATGCTCTCTAGATTTCTTGTTTTATAATGTGTGAACCCATTTGTGCAATAGCAGAAAGCTCGGTCGTTTTCAATTCAAGTCCCCCTTAACTGTGTACAACACCAGTGTTCAACAACAAGACAGCCAGAAGAGTGAGGTCTGTACTCTGGATAGTTTTGTTAAGGACCTCTGTCTACTTGTTGCGGATGGAGAAAGTAACCTTGGGGCCTCCCACATTTTTACCAACTCCTGTCACATATTAAACTTGGGCAACAAAGTGTAAAACACGCCTTTACTGTGCTGCAGCTACAGCCATAAAATATATGAATGAAATTTGGTTACGAGCCAGAAAAAGTTATACGGAGCACCAAATGCTCTAGCAAAGAAGAAAAACATTGTGGTCACAAGAAGCCTCGAAAAGGTAAAATAAACAAAACCAAAAATGTCAAAGGCAAAGGATCGACGTTTTTCAATGACTTCACCACAGGCGAAGGACTACACGGAAACATCTTTATATTTTGGTAGGCAGAAAAACAGCAAATCGTGAAGGCTGCGTTGCTCTCCCTGGGAAGTGTAAAAGGAACCTGAACCACATCAGGTATCTTATGCCTCCTCTATCCATGAGGTGAGGGCCGGCCTACATCGTTCTGCACTGGCACAAGCCTTCGGCACAGAGCGAAGGTGTCTTTAGCACCACCCCACACATGGGGAAGAATTCTACGGAATAGCTGGAGCATTCAAGAATGTGGAGTCAGTGACCTTAAGGGCCTGTCGTTTAACAACACATTTCACAAGGCCTTTTCCCCCACATGGCAGTGTTTGCTTAGCACTCCCCAGAGTTCACAAGGGGACAACCTGCTTCCTTGGGAAACCAGGTGATGACCATTCTCTGGCTTCAGAGGCCCTGTTCGGAACAGCCACTAAATGAAGCTAGCAAGCATCCCTATTATACATAATATCCATTGTATATATTTCAATGCACTGGCCTAAAGCCACTTGCCAGAACCAAATACAGTGGTACCTCGACTTGAGAACAACCCCACATACGAACGATTCGAGTTAAGAATGGCTCAATTCGCAAAAAGTTGCTTCAACTTGAGAAAACAGCCTTGGGGGGGGGGGGGAGGGAGAAAAAAAAGAAAGAAAAAGAAAGAGCTGGCACAATTTAAGATGCTGATCATTCAAGCACTGCCCTCCCTTCTCAAGATTTGCTGTGCCACCGTTTTTTTTGTGAAGGGGTCCTTCGAAGAAGAACTGGCCGCCTTCTCCAAATGCCAAGAGCATGTCTTCGGGGTGTGTGTGTGGACTATCCTGCAAGTCTCCCGCTCTGTTTTTTCCCGATCAAAGGCCAAATTAGAACTCTTAAGCACCCCACTGTCCTTCATGTTGCTTAACCCATTAACCTGGCCTTTAAGTGAAGGGAAGGGCTCTCCATTGGCAGCACCCCAAGGACAAATGTTATTTTCTCTCTCTCATAAACAGAGGGCTCAGAAAGGTGTCCATCAAATTAGAAAAACGACACCATTCTATATAAATAAAGGCCTTTATCGTCATCCATTCAACCCGAGTCTCTGAACCAGTGGTTCCCAACCTTGAGTCTCCAGATATTCTTGGGACCGCAACTCCCAGAAATCCCGGCCAGCGCAGCGAGTGAGGAAGGCGTTCTGGGAGTTGCAGTCCAAGAACATCTCGGGACCACGGTTTTAAACCCCGGCAAACGGAAACGCAGCTTGTGTAGAAATCAACCAGGTTTGCATTACAACTGCAGAGGAACGTCAACCTCATTCAAACCTGACCGCAACCCCAAGGAGCGCTGAGGGCTTCACAAGACCAGCCGGTCTTCGCCTCCTTCCTGGATGACTTGTCCAATGGAGGTCTGGTTCTGTTGCTTTAGAAAACACTCTTTCTTACACTCCATGAGCAGCTGAAAATCCCGCCACATTTTCACTTGCTTCAGGTTTGGTCCGTGACTTTCCCGGATGCTCTTTTGCTTTTCTCGCAATTTCTGTTATTCGAAAGACAAAATAATCAACAGGACCGAGAAAGGGTTCAAAAGCGGCAGCCGCCAACTCAGACACTTTGAAGGGGAAAGAGAACAACACAAAGTTGTGTGCAGTTCAGTAGTTAAAAGTTTACTTGCAATTCTTTACTTGCGCAACGGGATTTATAAGAGGAACACAAAAGAGAGAGATGAAGGAAACGCTCCCCCCCCCAGTTTATTCTGAACGTCACAGAAGACAAGAAATAGGCAGATCAAAGCAAGTGGCGCACCTTGAGGGGTTAACACAGTTGTATCAAATTTACTGTAGTTCCTTTTTATAAAAACACCCAGAATAACAAATGGAAAATTTATGGTCTTCAGCCGATTGCTTTCATATGCCCCTTCAAACGTGAGCTGGCAGAGCATCGTCTGCATTATACTGTAATATCTTATCCCTAGGGTTTCCGGGGAATGTGCCGTTAGTAAAAGATAGTCAAACAGCTTAGGCATTATCTGTAGGAAGCTGACTTCAGAAATATTTGTATAGTTTATTTTGAGAAGGCATTTTCTCTCTGCTGGAACACAGCAGCTCCTAGGGGCTATGCATAAATGACTGATATGCACAGAATTTAGCATTTTTCAAGCATGAGGGAAAGAAACATTCTAAACGTAAAAATTCATCATTACCTTTCCAAGGTTCTCTTGTTCTGTAATCAGCCGGGAATATTGTTCTCTAAAAAAAAATATGTGTTCAATTAAAATACAAGTGTATTCTTAGCATTTATATAGCAGTTTGAATGTTTCAAAAGCTTCACAGAGGTACACTTTGTAACAGTCTTGTAAGGAAGGCCCACTTAAAGATAGCTAAGCTGCAGACAGGAGCTAGAGGATTTTTATTCATAGTTGCAATGACTGCTTGAGAGGTTAAGATATTTAATTATAATTCTTATGGTCCGAATTCATGTTCATACATTTCTTCCCCAGCAAGTCCTAACTCCCAAAAGGGAGAAAGAAAGTCTTCGGTTGAAAGCAAAAACGGATCGTGGAAGCGGCATCCTAAAAAGTGAAGGAAATGCAAACCACAGATTGATACTCTTCTTCGCTCAAAACGTGGGCATGTTGCTGCTGCATCCAGCGCAAACAGCTCTCTCTAGCAGAGCATGTTAGACCCCCTCAGCAAACCCCAAGTGGCAGGATTCCATAGGGGTGGAGCCCCATCAGTGAAAAGGGGTATCAAACTGGGGTAGGGACTCGGGCTGTGGCCCTCGTTGTCAAGGTGGGCTTAAGTTGCACTGGTCACGTGACTCAGACTTGACTTGATTGTTTCCCCTCCCCCAACAACTCCGACTCAACTTATGGCTTGAAATCCACCCATCTTCCTTTTTTCGGGGGGGAGGAGAGGGAAGGGTTGTTTTTAACAAGGATGTGGACCTGGCGCTTTGGGACTCGAGACTTGGGGATCAAAGACCCAGACCCAAAGAGACCCGCCAACATCCCTGGCATCCAACCGCTGTAATAGTGCATCGACTCTCCAAGCTAGTCATACCCGAGTCCTACAGAATCCTATAGGTTTTAACCTATAAAACCTATCAGGCAGGATTTCTGGGAAGTTACTCTCCCCGCCCGCCTCCTGCGCCTTCTACTGCTGCAAAAGGGTGAGCAGATTCCAGAAGCCCCGGAGGCGCCTTCTGTGGGAGACACAACCACTGTTCGAGCCCCATCAGTGAAAAGGGGTATCAAACAGGGGTAGGGACTCGAGCTGTGGCCCTCGTTGTCAAGGTGGGGTTAAGGTGCACTGGTCATGTGACTCAGACTTGACTTGGTTGTTTTCCCCCCCCCAACGACTCCAACTCAACTCATGGCTTGAAATCCACCCATCTTCCTTTTTTCGGGGGGGGGGGAAGGGG